CATAATTGTACCGTGATCCTTTTGACTTAGATTTCTTACTTTTATCTTGCTCTGAGGGTTTAGATTGATGTCTATAGTTGATGAATATCTTATCCAAATGTTGGACTTCATTCTTTTGGAGATATCTATGATACTTTCTCACAAATAACCCCATATCGTCATTCGAACTTCCATCATCATCACTAGAATCACTTCCACACGAATCATTTGTGGATGACTTAGAGCTTGAAGCCTTTAACGTGATAGATTTTCTTTTCCATGTCCCTTGAAGCTTACCAAACAATATTTTAACATCAAGTGTAGTTAGATCATTAGCTTCTTTAATCTCCGTGACCTTAAATTTTCATTCCCTGTTAAGACATCTCAAAATTTTGTTAGTAGCAACAAATTGGTAGTGGTATGACCAAGTGTATGTAAGCGATTGATTATATAAGTGAATATCTTTTGCATATCCGCAATAGTTTTACCATACTTCATGTGAAATAGATCGAACTCTTGAGTTAAGGTATTGATTCTACCTAATTTGACATTGTTAGTTCCCTCATGGGCAATTTGTAGTGCGTCCCACATTACCTTAGCAGTAGCATAAGGGGAGACTCTAAAATACTCATTAACACCTAAAGATGAAATGAGCATATTTTTAGCTTTCCAATCATAGCTATAATTTTTCTCATCATTCTTTTCCCATAATACTTCCGGTTTAGGTATGGTGGCACCAGCCTCATTGGTCATGGTTATTGCTATAGGACCATTCTCGATGACTTTCCATATTTTTCTATCAATAGATTTGATATGCACACGCATACAATCTTTCTAATAACTATAATTTTCACCGCTAAAAATAGGTGCTCTATTGTACGCCCATTTTAGATCATTCTCCATTTTCAAAAAATTTATATGTGAAGCACTAGATAAACTGACGCTCGTGATACCACTTGTTAGACGATAAGACGGGTCTAAAAGGGGGGATTGAATAGATCCTTTATTTGAAAATTTCTCTTTTAAAATTTGTTTTGAAATGATGCGAAAGCTTCGCGAATCAAAATCATCTAAACGATCTGTTGTTGAAAAGATCGAATATGTGAAACTGTATGGAGATCTTATGATGAGAGATGAATCAATATGATTACTTACTAATCAATCACTTCAACAATAACAATGAGTACTTACTACTTTCAATAAATTGTTTAAGATAAGACTTAAAAAAATCACTAATCTGTGTGTTAGTCAATTTATCAAACACTTGGTGTGTAAAAACACAACAAGTTCAATTTTACTTAATTGTAGTGATGAATTTTCCTTGATAACAATCAAAGTGATTGCTATGATTAGGGGTGTTAAAATCCAAACTAATCCAAATAAAAAATCGAAATTTATTGGATGTGTTTGGATGTCATTTTGTGAAAACCAATCAGTTTGGATCGGATTTCGGATTAATTTTTCAAAATCGATCCAAACCAAACCGAACCGCATAAGTATATTTTTATACTTATTTACTTTTTATTAGTATGATATGTTATGTGAATTTATTATTAGATAATAATAATTTTTTTAATAATATTTATTAGCTTGGTATAATTTATTTACTCTTATTATTTCAACCATAATCAATCACTCTCATTTTGTAATATTAACTATTAATATACTATATGTTATATATTATATCAAATATATGATTTTTTAGTAGTTTTATAATTTAAATAAAAATATAATGTGCAATTTGGATATTCAAAAATCGGTCCAAATTAAACCGCATAAAATTGGATTAGATCGGATTGGATTTTTTAATTATATCATCCAAAACCGAACCGAACCGCAAGTAAATTTATCTTTGGATCGGATGAGTTTTTATCTTAAAACCGATCCAAATCAAACCGCGAACACCCCTAGCTATGATTATTGTAAACTAAGTTTGAATCACTAAAATCACGGTAAAATGAATTGAGTAATCAATATCACACAAATTATAATAAACAAAAGTAAAAGGATAGGGAAAGAGAAACAACACACGATTTGTTAAGGCAGTTCCTCTTGTCGTCCTCGCGTCGGGTACGTCTCCCCCCAATTCTAAAATCTAGAATTGAGATATATGATATTAAGTTGTAAAGTGTTATAAGAGAAGCAATAGTCTTCCCTACATACAAACCAGTTGATGATAAAAATATTCCCTTCTCTCCTCTTGGTTCAAGCCAAACCAAGTGTGTTAATCTCTTCGAACAAACCTCTGGTTACCGCTACTTGATTGCACGAACTCTTCGTTCTAAAAATCTTTCACTCGGCTGATTTCAATCGCAAGAAATTTGACCTCAAATCTTTCTTCACAATCCTCCGGTTATTGCTACTTGATTGAGCAAACCCATTGTTTCTCAATCCTTTCACTCGACTGAATTCCATGAAGCAAAGACTTGTGCAAAAATCCATGCACCAAACGGAATCTTGGATGACAAAACTCTAACACTTTTATTCAAGAAAAAACCCACTCAATTCTCAATTGAAATCTGAAATCAATATTCAATTTGAACGTTATCACCATATTTATGCACTTTAATCAACAAAAATTATTATGTGTAATTGTTGATGAATGCAATGAGAGGATGAAGATGATGAGAAGTTGGTGTATATCTTTCACTTTTTCTTGTTAACCTACAAGATGTATGCTAACCAATATATATATATATATATATATATATATATATATATATATATATATATATATATATATAGTCTAGACCAAAGATGTAGCAGAAAATAGAATGCAAGAAGCGAGTGGTTGACTCATGCAGAAGTTTCACTCGACGCGAGTACGCCCGGGCATTGTAGGAAGACCTTTGAGGAAGCAATGCATCGATCGCGACAGGACACGAGTCGACGCAAACAAAAATAATTTTTCTCCTAGTGTTAGTCGACCCGAAGAGTCAACGCGAGCTTGATGGATTGATCTTCTTCAATTTACGAGTCGACCTATCTTTAGCTTGAGTCGACGCAAAGAGTGAGAATTTTTCTCCCAGTGTGAGTCGATCAGTAGGGTCGATGCACGTAGACCCGAGTTTGATGGATTGATCTTTTTCAAGCTATGTGTCGACCTAACTCTAACTTGAGTCAACGCAAACAGTGAAATCTCCCAAAAATGAATGTTTCTAAAGATCTTCATTCCTACCATTCTACTAACAAGTTTGTCCATAAAACCAACCCAGATCAAGAGCAAACAATAAACGTTTTGACATCATTAAAACAAATATAGAAGGACCTTGCCCTCGCACTATTTATGTGGAGAAAGCATGTAGAAAGTCCAAACTCAAATGAAGTTGTGGTTTTGTGTGAATATGTGAGAGGTTTGTTGGAGACTGGCTTGGTTTTAAATTGCTTTAACGAGAATTTATTGCAATTTGCAGAGATTGAATTGATTTAGGTTATGAGATTGTAGTTTATAGTTTCTTTAAGGAGATACAAGCATAATTGAAGTTGTTCATGACCTTGTTTAGGTTCCAATATTGTCTTTATTTGTTTATTATTACAAATGACACATTTTTAGCAAACAAACTTGCATAAGTTCAAGTATGGACTCTGGATGAATGATTGAGAAACTTGTGTAATAATTTTGAAAAGGATTAGTGACCATTATGAGTTTTGAAGGCGAAATCATTTGCAATTGCAAGATGGTAGTAAATGCAAGACCTGAATATTTTATCTTTTTTAAGAATAAAATGTTATGTTAAAACTACTATTATTACTAGTATATATTATTAGTATGTATTAAAAAATTTATTCTCAATGAGCCTTTTATTATTCAATAGTTTTACATTAAAAGTTAATAAAATTATAATAAAATAAAGTAGATAAAATTATGTTATTAAAAATTAAATGTAAAAGAGTAACCTCTCTTGTTATTTTATTATATTAAATAAATAAAAAACTATTTAAGTCATTGAATTCGCGATCGGATTATATTGATTGAAAATACATTTGCAGAAATGTAATATCGAATTATATATAAGGGAGTAATATCTGTAACTTTTTTGTAACCTAAAGTACTCTAGAAAAACACATTTTATGGCTCGGACAGAAAATTTATCAAGACCTAGAGACAAGTCATGAACAAAATATATGCATTCAAATATTCGAGGAGCAATATGAAACAACTGTTCTTTGGGAAATAGAATGGAATGTGGTATTTTATGATCAAGAGAGGAAGAAGGCATTTGATTAATCAAAAAACAGGATGTCAAAACTATATCACCCATCGTATACCAACATCGTCCACGTATTGCTAATACAGAATTGGAAAGCACTGAAAGACGATATGAATCATGTCCTGCACCAACAGATAACCCTACTACAAACGTTCATGAAGAAGATTTTGACTTGTCCATTGCTCTGATATCATATTAAAAAACTTTGATAGAGGATTAAGAGATTTATGGAATAAATGAATGATTTGCATTTAACTGATATTAATGTTATTTCCTTGCATCCTAGATGCAAGACTAACTAGATTCTGCAACTTCTCATGCTAATAATTGTTACTAATTCCATCAGTTTATTACAAGTGAACTCTAGGACCCAACTCATATATTTAGTTGAGAGTGTTTTCATCTAAAACATTGTACACCACATGCCAAACATCTTATTACAAATACACTACGTATAATTTCCAAAACCTGAACCTTGCAAAATTACCAGGTTGAGACTTTAAAAGCCACAATCTACCGCCTCAATTTTCTCATTATAATAAGTACAATTAATATGCAGTAGACTTCCAAGTCCAAGTGCTTATTTTCTTGTGAATTGAAATTTCATGCAACCTCTATTAAAATTAACAACCAGAATGTCTCGAAATATAAAATGATTTTTGTAGTGAAACAGGTTTGTCTAGTCATGCTCCTAAGGGATTCGTTACAGATCGAAAATTATATGATCAGTTTCAAAACCTACAGAAAATACAAACCAACTCTTGACTTGAAAAGATTGAACCTAAAGAAATATTGTCACTTCAACAAATTTTAAAAAATCCCTCTTCTTCTTTTGTAATTTCTAAATGTTAATATCAACTGATGACTCCTTCCATGGTTTTCTGGGACTCGAAATCCAACAATTCCTTCAATTCTCTTTTTTTGCCATAAAACTTGCCTGAACTCCTTGTGCTCCACCAAATTTTTGGAGTATAGCTAGTGATATTGGCAGCTCAAAATCATGCAGTACATTTGACTCTGTCCCTTGATCCACTGGAGCTTCCGTGTCGACTAACTTCCCAGCATCAGCCGCAGCTTCCAAAGCCTCGACAGTGGCCACCATGCCAGCTCTCGTCCCATTGCTTCCTCTATCACCAACTGCATCACCAGGACTATCATTTCCAGCTGCAGCCTCTTCAACCTGCTTTGAATTATAGTAGTTTCTTGAAAAGGGATCATAACCGGCTTCCTATGCTTTCAAAGATTTATTTACTGGCCTCAATTCAGATGCATTTTTGAAGTTTTCAACCTGTTCTTTCTGTTCATCTCAGAAAGCCTCAAAGCCTTGGCATCCTTCTCCTCAGCTTTCCGTGAATTTTCCAATTCTTGTAGTCTTGTCCTGATCTTCTCTGCTCCGGCTGCATCATTCTTGCTTTGTGCATAATCAGATTGGTCAAGAATGGTACCATTGAATGACAATAGCTAACTCCATAAATCAATTGCAGGAAGAAATATCTTGCCTATACACATGAAACAAAAATTAAAATTAAATTATCTAGAATGTGAAATAGTAATATCAATTCATGTAAAATAAACTTACTTGATTAATTGACGCTACGGTGTTAAGCGGTGCTTCTTTTTCCTTTCAACGGAAAAAAAATACAAAACCTAAAAATCCTAAACCAAACCTAGAAAGAGCGAAAAATAAAATAACAAAAAAAAAAGAATGAATCAAGAAAGGAAAAAAATTGTATACCTTTTTGAAAGAAATTTTCTTCGTGGATCATCATCAGATTCAATAGCCAGAAACGAATTAGGTGTTGCAGGACTGGTAGCTTTAGTTCGACGAGAATGACGTCGACAATGGCGATCGACATTGGAGGACTCGCCCTTGTTGTTTGATTTCGCCGCATCATTGAATAAGGGTTTAGAAAGTTGAAAAGGCATGAATTAATGACACATGTTCGAAAGTTGGGATTTTGGTTCATTCAAAGTAATGCTATTGATGTTTCACTGTGAGTGTCGTTTGAAATCATAGATAAAACTCAACAAATTTTTTAATGAATGGATCACATTTTGTAACAATGACAAATTTATGCCCCCGTGTTTTCTATACTTGGTAGTAAGCGTCGAAAAAATAATTTAATATGTCAATGTCTTTAGTGTCTAAGAGCAAAAAAGATATAAGAATGTATTCTTGTCAGGATAATTTTAAATTTATTTTAAATATTTATTTTTAAGGTAATGATATTAATAAATAGTTGAAAATTAATTCTTGTCTTTTTTTTTTCATACTTTCTTATTATCTTTTTTATTTTCATACTTTCTTATTAATAAGTATTTTTCTTCTAAAATAGGTGAATAAAGATATAACATTTTTATTCTAAAAAAAAAACTAATTAATTGGTGCCGACATTTGCCATTGTAAGTTGTAAAACCTTCTTAAATTATTCTTAAAAAAATAATGTAAATGAAAATAACCTATAGTTAATGGAATATAATTGAAATAAAAATATTTATTTTTAATATATTTTGAATGTTCTTATCAAAATAAAATATTTATCTTGTGCATGTATGAAACATACTAACAAATTTTTAATTGTTTAAAATTTAATTGAGCTTTTAACTACTAATTGAAATTAAAAAATATTTGATTAATAAAACAAAAAGTCAATTACCCCAGGGGAGAGCCCCAAAGATCTAATGAATTAGACCATAAACAAAACGGGTGAACCAAAAAGAAAAAGAAGAGACATAAATATTTCTAAAAATTGGATTAAAGTTAACAGAAGCAGAAGTGTCTATATTTCATTGGCAGAGCATTATCCCAGAACTAAAACAAAACAAAATTCTCATATTTAATGTTACACCAAAGGGGCAACACGAATAGAAGGTAAGTTGGAAGGTCATACAAAATTGTTGCGAGAAAACAAAAATATTCCCAGGTTTTCATTTCTAAGGTCAAGCAAACATAGAATGAAAAACAAACCTGAAACGGAATTCAAATTCATATGCTACAAAAAAACAATACTTTAAAAATGGTAACTACTACATCTCAGTACTTAACGGGAGCAAGGATTTCAAGTTGTGGAGCAAGTTTCTCATCAACAATCTTTTCGGCTTTAGTCCTCAATTTATTGAGGAGCTTCTTCTTCTCATATGCCAAATGAGCTCGTTCCTTCCTCTTCTTCTCCAACTCCTATAGACAAGAAAAAACATTAAGAATTTTAAAACCACAAAATGGTTTTACCTAATACAACAGCAAAACAAAAACAAAAAACTCACCTTGATGGTGTCGTAATAATTCCATCCAACCTCGGATGACAACTGCCCAAGCAAGCAGTATTTGTGGCCCTTTTGAAGCCTCAACACCCTATTTTTCATTCACAGAATTCGATATTAAACTGGGATAAAAATATCTTGATTCAACAACAAAACATAAAAATTGTGAATCAGACTATAGAATGGATCTTACTTAAGGGCATCAGGTACCACCATCCTTTTGATCTTGTCATATGGTGGAGGAATTCCCTCGTATACTTTCAACCTAGCAAGTGCAGCCTCTCCACGCTTGGTCTTGTGTGGAATCATTCTACATAAACACAAAAACACTTCTCAAAAACCCTACAAAACACAACACAACACTCGACAACAAACACTTACGATTGTTTGGTTACTTAAATCTGTAAAATGAAATCTTTATTACGAATTTACTAATTCTGTAAAATGAAATCTGACTTAAAGAGAGTTTAAGTAAAACACCATATATTTCAACACATTTGTGCAATAACGAGTTAATAAATTTGAGTCTTAAAATCAATTCTAAAATCAAAGTTCGAAATTTTAGCTTCAAATTAGAGAACGGCCAAACATATCAAATTTAAATATATGCAACTAAAGTCGATTATAACTCTTAGAACCTAGTTGGATTAGCTTATAGAAGCTTATATACTGACATATTTTGTGTGACTGTCCCAAAGAATTAATAAGCATAGTCTATGACTTTCTACATAAGCTTTATTGAACTAATTTTCACAAGTTTTCCAACATATCTTAAGATTTTTTCAAGTAATTTTCATAAGCTTCTTCTAACTAATTATCACAAGTTTTCCTAGATATCTTATTAAATAAAGTTTATAGCATATAAATAACAATTACACATTATGTTACTATTTGCTATAAAAATAGCTTAGGAGAGATTATACGTAATCACTTATATTTATAAGCACTTGCATAATAAGCTGCTTATACAAACAGACTTTTATAACCAATTTCATAATTCGATTCTATCAAATAAACAGGCATGTAAAACAAATCATTCTAAAAAAAACATTCACATCTAGATCATGAACCTAATTATAAACAGAAAATAACATAATCAAGCTTAAAAAATCACGAATCTATAAGAAATGCGCTTAATTCATAAGCGTACATAGTGAGTGATTAACTAACCCACGAACAGTGCGCCAGAAGATCTTGGACGGAGCACGAAAGTGAATAGGACCATGAGAGGGTTTGGTGTTCATACGCTTACGAAGGAACCGCATGTATTTCATCTTCTGTCTAACGAGACCGCCGGAGATGCAAATTTCTTCGCATCTAACGAGAACTACCTTCTGACCGTTGAGAAGCTCCTTCGCGACGATTGAGGCGAGCCGGCCGAGCATGTGGTGACGAGCGTCAACCACCACTCTCTTTGCGCAGGCTCCTGATCCGGACACCATTTTTGCTCTTTCCGGCGGCTTGTTTCCTCTCCGGACCTTTTTAGGGTTTCATTAGAATATAACAGAATATATGTGTTATTGTTGGGCTCTTCAGTGGAAGCCCAAAATCAAGTTTTTTCTTTTGGTTTAGCCCAACATCAACTATTATAAATGAATAACTTTCAACAAACAAAAATAATCATTTATAAGTTATTTTTGGATTTTTGGAGTTAATGTTATTTCACCTAGAATTATGTTTTAGGCTACATAATTCAAGTTTTTTTAGTGTTTGCAAGCTTAGGAGTCATAATAAACATGTTAGGTGTATTTTTTTACCATCAATGATCATTTTTTATGGTCATTGGGGTTGTGCTTCACCATTGACGAAGCTGAAATGTTGCAGGTCGTATCGGAGATGTATTTTCGGTTTTCTTCAACGTTTATATCAAAAATCGGAAATGCATATCCAGTTTTAGTATGTCTGCATTTTCCCATTTCTTTGAACATGAGTCACTTTATTAACATTTGTTTCATACTTCTACAAGAGTAATAGATGAGAGACCGTCTAGGTTGAGACATGGCAGGCTTGCATAACATGCTTTTGTGAGAAAGGAAATGATTCAGGTATCTCAAGCTCATTCTGCCTCTGGAAAGGTTGTGCCAGATGCGCCTACAAGTTTTAGTGTTCATGTTTCTACACCTATTTCATCATCCTCTCGTGGCATACGAGGTTCTCCAGATCATCCATCCTCGCCTCTGTCTTCTCGTAGACGCACTGTCTCACTGATGGTATTTGAGCCAGGAGAGACGTCAGGGTCATAGCCGACACCTGAGGCCATACATCTGACACCTAATGCATCTCAGCCACAATCCACACATCCGCCTCAGTCATAGACGACATCTGAGGAGGAAACTGAGGCCCAGGCATCTGAGGCGGAGGGTTTCGAATGAGGGCCTTCTGATTTATCATTGTTGCCTTTGTACCCAAACCATGTTGTCAGACATATCTGGGACAGAGAGGTATGAATTTTGCATTGTTTATTCTGTTAATTTTCTGTAGAATTATTTTATTATTAATTTTTGTTGAATGAATTTTGTTAAACCATGTTTGCAAAAATGTGATCCGCTGAATATCATTAATCATGCACAGAAAATCACTCGCTTGGTAGCTCCCCCTGAGCCTTGGTTTCAAAAGATCTTGATTCTTTTAAGGTTGAAATATTTGACTCTACATGGATATATTATCGTTAATCATGGTATGATTAACGCTTTTGTTAAAAGATGGCATCATGAGACATCATTGTTGCATCTACCACATGGTGAGATAACAATCACGCTGGATGATGTCGCATATCTGCTGCATCTTCCGAAAAGAGGGAGGTTTTTAGACCATGAGAGGATAGACAAAGAGAAGGTACTGAAGTTGTTGGTAGAGTACTTAGGGGTTATGTCAGATTTAGATATTTGCATATTGTGTTCACGATAGAGGTACTATGTGCATAAAAGGTTGATGGTAATCTCGAGCACGTAGTCCAACACAAAGCATCTGCTATGAGAGCATACCTGTTGTATCTAGTTGGCACTGGCACTGCCATTTTATGGACACTAGTGCAACTTACACTGATGTCATGTACCTGCAATACTTTGAAGACTTAAAGCGGATCCATGAGTGGAACTGGAGGGCTAGGGGTGTTCAAAAGCAAACCATCCCAATAAAAACCGCTAACCGAACTAGACCAAACCGAAAACCATAAAAATCACATTTTGTTCGAATCAGTTTATGTCATTTTATGATATAACCGTGTAGTTCAGTTTGATTTACGGTTTATATGTTGAAACCGATCCAAACCAACCCGGATTGCAGTACTTCAAAATTACCCCATATTTTAAGTATATGCAGGACAAATTATTCAAAGCCCAACCCAAATAAAAAACAAATATTCGGCCTGCTGCAAATTGAGTTACAAGCGGAAGCTATTCTCGAAGCGTAACACGAAGCGACTAGGTTGCGAAAACTTTATCTTCCCAAACGTGGTTTTACTTTCATCTTCTTCCTCACGTGACACCAACAACATGTGTTTCTCACCTTTCCATGCATCAATAACTTGCGATTTGATTTCAGCTTGGATTTAACTCGATTCAGCTTTGGTTTGAATTTGTTTCAAGTTTGGATTCATTTTCAGTACGTTTTGATTTTGAATTTTGAGTGGTTTCGTTGATTTTTCCACTATTTCAACACGATTTCGAGTTAATTGGTTTCTCTGGTTTTTGTGTTTTGATTATGAATTTTGAGTGGTTTTTGTGTTTTTGCTACAGAAAAATCACCGTCGCGCTTTATTATTTCCAAAGGAATTGGAAAAGAGCGAATAATCCAAAAGAGAATCTAAGTACGAGGGTTGGTTATGAAAAGGGAAGGTATTAACACCCTAAACATCTACAGTACTCCGCAGGAACCTCTTTGAAAATTTGTGTATTTTGACTATAAATGTTGTATACAAAAATGGATTGTGGGGATGAGGAAAGAAGTATTTTTTAAATAATTTTTACACCTGTCGCAGTTGAGAACCTTTAGTGCCTACGTACCACCTTCCGTGCAATAGGGGATCAGGGTACTCGTAGTTCACCTTTAAAAATTTTAAAACACATGTGTGTTGGTTAATTTTAAGAGACAAGACATCATCGTCTTATCTGAGTGGAAGAACATACTTATTACCCATGATTATGAGAAAGGAGAATTTGCATCATCTCAAAGTGAAGGATATGGCTTGTATTTTAAAATCAACAAAGCCTCGCTCAACACCCAAGTGGAAAATATCTCACTTCACTACATATCATAGAAGTATAGTAGCTCGCATCACTATAAGGATTAACAAGAGTCTAATCTTTTGAGAAAATTTTAAAAGTAAAAATCCAAAATGGAAAAATGGTTTGAATGAGATTGATTGACTTTTAATATTCTCACAAAAATGTCAAGATATTGTTAAGTTGAATAAAGTTTGATTAAGAAAATATTTTTGAAAATGCATGGACCTAAGTCCAAGTTTATTATGAAAGTGGTTCAAGTTTAAAACAAGAAGAGTTTTTAAAAGGGGGGAGGAGATTTTTTAAATTAAAGAAGATGGGAGGAGATGAAGGGACCATCCTAAAGCATAAGGTAAAAGCTAGGGAAAAGAATTGTCTAACCAACAAGAAGCCAACACTTAACACAATGAGTCAACATAGAATTCCATCCTTTAGATTTGAAATCAAACAAGCAAATATAATAAACCTCTTAAGAAAACCAAGCTTCAATTGCATTAAGTCTTCAAAAATTGGACAGAGTAACAGTTGTATACAAATGAATTCCCGATCACAAATAAAGCATGTAATCACAATAACCTGCACACAAAGAAAACAAACAACCCAATGTCTTGGGGTAAACCCCAAGAGCTCCAGACAAAATAACAGTTGAGGTCACAAGGTAGGTCAATGTCTCTAATCCTAAGTCTAAGAAGTCCATCACTCCATTATACCAAGGATAGTAACCAAATAGTCCAAGTAGCATTAAAGTTGTGTATGGTTCAAGTTGATTATTAAGTATCTTAAAAAAAAAGATCAAATGAGCAAAAATATAAAAATGACATAAAAATAAATGCTCAAATGAGCAAAGATGAAAATAGCATGAAATGTAAATGCTAAAGTAAATGTGCTTCAAGTAAAGACATAAAGTAAAAGCGTAAAATAAAGTCAATTGTTAGGAATTAGTGGTTAGCTGAATGACCATCTTGAAACTTGTATTTAGAACTCATTAGAGGATTGGTAGAACCAAAGCCTCTCAACAATAAGTTGCATTTGCTTTTTGTCAAGTATATCATCCATTTAAGAATTCTTAAGGCAACATTAAATGATCAATGATGTTTAAGTGATCCACTTTGACCAAAACTGATGAAGATTTATTAGAGGATTGGTAAAACCAAAGCCTCCTAACAATGAATCTCAAGGTTATTGGATCAAAGGGTTCAAATCAACATACTTGGGCTTGAAAATATGGGTTTGGACACGAATGATCATTTCTCGAATTTGGACAAATTTTAGCGATATGTTAAGCAATCGTAAGTGGACTTATATAGAAGTCACACCTATTTTAAGGCCGGTCAATAGCAATTTATGTGACATATGTTTAGATAAATGATATTTAAATCATCCTCAAACAACATGTAGCACAAGTGATAAAGGGATAAGATGAAGTGGGAGGGGATATATTAAATGGAAACATGGTTTCAAATATTGTCAACATCATTCATCCATTTTAGTGGATTTGGTTTTTCAACCTATCAACACCCAAGATCCAACGAGGTTGAATAATTTGTCCCAAGATGGCTTCCAAGTCAGTATCACATGTCATAACAAAAGTTAAACAAGAATTATGTACACAAGTTTCCAATGACACACTTTGATCAAAAGCAAAACCCTAAATATATTTCCAAGTCAAAAAATAGGTTAAAATAGGAAAGTAACTTGAAAAATTATGTCCATTTAATTCTAAACTCCTAAAGGCTTCTAAAATTTAGATGCATGACTCAAAGTTTCTGAAAAGAAGAGAAAATATGTTTTTTTAAATTCAAACATCAAAACTAGTTGATCAAAGACCAAAACTAGGCATCCTTTACAAAAATATTTTGAATAAAATGGGAGATCATACTTAAAAAATCAACAAAAAGGCTTCAATGATCTTGAATCATCCAGGAACTTTGAATATATTTCCTTTGATTTTTAGAAATTAGTGAAATTGGAGAATTAAATCTTTCTTCATGCCTAAACAAGAAAAGGTCTCACAATCAACAATTAACTTCAATTTTTTTAAAAACAGAGTTAGCCAACCTGTAAACTCAAATAAAAAATATAAACAATTAGTTTAAACCCTAAGAATCAATGATGATATTTTTCTTTAATTTTATCTCAGAAGGAAAAATTAAATAAAAATTATTTACTTCAAACATAAAAAAAAACAAGAAAAAGACGGTATATCCAATCAAATGAGC